AAACTATACAGCCAAGATATATATATGTTAAGACCACCAGATTCATAACTCTGCATTTAACCTGATCACAGCATTTGGGTAAAAACTATGATTAAATCTACTTGTCCTAGCTTTCAGCACTCTATATCGTCTTCCTGATGGTAGGATCTCAAACAATGAGTGGCCTGGATGTGAAGCATCTCTCGAGATCTTTTGTATCTTCCTTCTACATCCCATGTTATACAAATCCTCCAATGAGGGAAGAGAACATCCACTGATCTTTTGTGCCCTTTTTATCACTCTTTGGAGTGCCAAAGAGTGTATACTGTATACTGGAGTGTATACTGTGCGAGTCAAAAAGAGGGCTGTGAAAATATTTACAGACCCTTCACATTCTGGACATAAACTGTTTCAACTCCTTCCTCAAAATGATGCTATAGAGCACTGCACACCAAAACAACTAGACACAAGAACAGTTTTTTCCCAAAAGCCATCACTCTGCTAAACAAATAATTCCCTCAACACTGTTCAACTATTGCAAAGTCTGCACTACTATTACTATTAATCTTCTCATCATTCCTTATCACCCCTCCCCTCCCACTTGTGACTGTATGACTGTAACTTGGTCGCTTGTATCCTGACTATTTATATTGACTGTTTACTAGTATAATTTGATTGCTTATTGTATCCTATGACTATCATTAAGTGTTGTACCTTATGATTCTTGACGAATGTATCTTTTCTTTTATGTATACTGAGAGTATTTGCACCAAGACAAATTCCTTGTGTGTCCAATCACACTTGGCTAATAAAGAATTCTATTCTATTCTATTTTAATAATTATAATAGTTTTAGATAATAATAATAATTTTATTGATTTTATTGGATTGTTGTACAACAGCTGGAGTCACTTTCCATGAAATGGACAACCAGATTAATTTGATAGCTACCTTTTAGGTATGATCCTTGAGTCAACTGTAGATTCATAAATAGTTGAGTTGTCAAACCCATAGTTGATCATTTTATCAATTAGATGTTATGAGAGACTGTCAAAACCTTTCTAAGTCCATATATATCATATCCACAGTATTTCCCCAATCAGCCAGTCTGTAATTCTATCATAAAACGAAATTAACTTAGTCTGGCAAGACTTGTTTGTCATAAATCCACTGTTAATTAATGGATTCCTGTTTAATTGCTCATAGACATGCTGTTTAATAATCTGTGGGCAAGGTCCTTGCCCAGTAATGAGGTCAAGCTCAGTGGCCTGTAGTTTTCCAGGTCTTGTTTATTCCTCATTTTGAAAATAGGAACAACACTAAGCCTTTTTCCATTTTCTGGGACTTCGTCTATTCTCCAGGCTTTTTAAATATTACAGATAATGGTTCTGCAATTACCTCTGCTAGTTTCTTCAGTGTCCTATGGCATAATTCATTTGATCTGGAGACTTCAATTCATTTAGATTAGATACCTCTCCACTAGCAGCAGTATATTATCATTTGTCAGCTTGCACATGCACAAAATCTGACTTCTTACTGGTCCCCATATCCCAACGAAGATTTCCCTTGACAGCCCATATTTTCTGAATAATATCTGAAAACAGTGAATTAAAAATCCAGCAGCAGTTTCTAAATTGTGTAATAATACAAAACAATTACAGTGAATCCCTCTTGCCTTCTTCACTTTTCACATTGCATTTTGTATTTGTGTTTAAGTATGTCTTTGTTTATCAAGGGGTCTCCCTAATCATCAGAGTGGCATCTTGTGCACATCTGACTTAGAAAGCAGTCATATTGAACAGTGTGAGAACAGATAAAGTTAAGACTGCACTGTTTGTCTTCAATCTTTAGTGTGGGACTTTCTCAAGAGCAAATATACATGAGAACTGCATTTGCAAAGGCAGGAGAAGAAAGTTGTACAGTATGCTTAAAGCAACTTTAGCTCAAACATTCACAATTGAAACAAACTGTGCCATCAACTCCTATCCTAGATATCTAAATCTCAGTATAAGCATTTTTAAAAATTAGGTCAGATAAATATTTTTCCAGATAGGGTTCATTGATTACAGTCTAGTACAATTTTAGATGGTACAGAAAAAGGTGAAACGGAAATGATATTGCTCATGCTACATCTCATGGTACAGATTTTGAAAAAAAAAATTAAGCTCAAGCACAAGCAAGTATGTTCAGAGGTTTATCAACAGAGATATGTGTATTTATATATTTGTATAAGATTTTTCCTTCTCTTTTTCCTATATGGCCTTCAAATGCAAAGTATGATTTTTAAGCAGGTTTGGATGAAACTCTCTTTGTAGTATACAAGGCAAATAAAAAAGAGAAACAGCTAGAAAATTTTATTTTATTTATTTTTTATTTTTATTTTATCTCTTACAGCTTTTTTAAATAGGTCAGAATAATTAAACACAAATATGCATATAGTGATCCATCATAAATGTTAATAGAGATCTTACCTTTTGCAAAAAAAATCAAATTGGTTATCCTTGGCTCACTTAAAGTACAAGCACTTCTCAATCTAAGGCCACAACTGGGTTCAGAACTTCCATTGCTAAGTGAGGTGGCTGCTAAGCAAGTCATATTTGATTTTACTTTTCCCTGGTCATTAAACAAATCGCCATGGTTCTTAATTGATCCGTGTAGATCAGGGGTAGGCAACCTTTTTATACCTACCGCCCACTTTTGTATCTCTGTTAGTAGTAAAATTTTCTCTAACCGCCCACCAGTTCCACAGTAATGGTGATTTATAAAGTAGGGGACAAAACCCCTCTACTGCCCACCATGAAAGCTGGAACGCCCACTAGTGGGCGGTAGGGACCAGGTTGACTACCAGTGGTGTAGATGGTAAGTGAATCCAGCTTCCCTAATGACTTTGTTTGTTGGAAAATGGCTAGGAAGAATGGTGATCATGTGATCCCAGGATACTGTAGCTGACATAAATACATGGCAGTTATCAAGCACCTGAATTTTGGTGAAGTGACTATGGGGATGCTACAATTATCATAAATGTAAGGAGCAGTCATAAGTAAATTTTTCAGCACCATTGTAACTTCAAACAATCACTAATCAAGTAAGTTAAGGACTACCTATAATGCATAACTGAATCATAGTTTAGGATTCTGTTATGCATGATATTGTTCTCTGTACACAATCACACCCAATGCAAAACTTTATCATCATGGGTGTGTGAGCATATATTATTACATTGTTTTGTGTGATTCAATATGAAATTCACAGTATACTGGCAATACATTAATGTTAGTGCTGATGTTGACCGTTGTCCTATAGCAGTGGTTCCCAACCTTTTTTTCACCCCGCACCCCTAAAGAAATTTCACTCGAACCTTGCACCCCCCGAAATAAATAATAAATAAAAATGCCAACATATAGCCAATATCCTATTATTTACCTGGACTTTTCTCGCACCTCCTGGAATATCGTCTCGCATCCCCAGGGGGTGCGAGCACCCCAGGTTGGGAACCCCTGTCCTATAGAATAAAAAAACAAATGAACATTTTATGAATAGTAAAGTACAAAGGCATGTACTTCTATTAGGTTTTTTTTAAAACAGAATGATTTTACCTCAACTATGTTTCAGTTGGTAGAGAGGAAATGTAGCTTTCTGGCTTATTCTATCACTATCTTGTTAAATTTAACCTTCACATTCAGAAAAAAGCAGACTTTATTTCTGACACTGGCTGTTATGCAAGGATAATTAATCAGCCCTTTAAGACAAATTATTTATTTAAATATAGTTTGAAAATTCATTTATTTATAATAATAAATTAATAATAATTTATTTAAATATACTTTTCCTTGCACATTTTTGAGAATCAGATTTATAACCCATTAGCTGAAATATTTATGAGTCCATTGTGGGAAAAAACTAAAGAAATTACTGGTCAATGAAAAATATTACTACAATTCATAATAAATAATGAAAAGTAGAAATGGTTAATTGGAGTCGGTTCTAATCTTATCTAATATCATAGATAATCTCTATTAAGTTCTAGCACTAAGTGCCAATAGGATGTTGGAAGATAACACCCTAGAAGATCAATGACTGCTAGTCATGATGGAAATGTGACTGCCTCTGGAGGCCATTTGATAGGGTTCCTTGTGATGTTTGTTGGCCATTGTGAGAACAGACTCCTGGAGTAGATGGCCAGAGGTTCAGTCCAATGCTTCAACTTTGGAACTGTACTGTTAATATATAAAATCAGTTCTCCTAATGCTGAACTTGTAATTTGGCTGAATTAGATGCTAAATTTAATAGACCATTAAAGAATATCCATTTTCCTTTCACTCATTTGGTTAAAGGTCAGAATGTTCAAAATGCTATAAAAATAAACAAGACCTCAACAATACTGCCATATTAACTTAGATTGTGTGCCATATCTAAAGAACAAAATATATACATATTTTTAAAAATGTATTTTATATCTCCTCAATTATGTACATGGCAAGAAAGGCACACCAGTACCCTTGTCTCTCAGAGAACTACACTTGACAGGCCCAAGGATCCGGGCCTTCCTTGCCATGGCACCAACCTTATGGAAGTTCTTACCCCACCCCCCAAGTGAGCTTTATTTCTTTGATTCCAAAGCCTTTTTATAACCAATGAAGCACACATTGACTTTTATTCTTTGGCTTTCTCAATTGTTCAGCAAGAATCCACAATATTGTATTTTGTCTTCAGCCCTTTTTAAAACACAGCTTGAAGATCTTGGGTTTCTCTTTCATCTAGGGCTGTAATCTTCATTGGATAATCATAAGCATTATTTAACTAGCATGTGAAATTAATTTTGTGATATTTTGTACAGTATGTTAATTCACTTTTCTTTGCTGTTGTTGATACTGGAAATTATTTATTTAAAATCAATCTAAAATCAATCTAGATCAGGGCTGTCAAACTCGCAGCCCATGGCCCAGATGTGTCGTATACTGGGCACGCCTATATCTGGTTTAGTGAAGGGAAAAAAGTTGCTATATATCACGTGATAACGCCATGACGTCAGCGTGAGTTTCACACCCCTGATCTACATCCTTTGGGTGGCTAACAATACAAAAAACATAAAGTAAAAAAAATATAATAAAACCATGCACTGTAATGCAATTGAGGCTCCAAGCAAAATCCTTCTGTCATGAATCAGAGAACGTATATACTAGGTTCAACTAACATCTGGCTTCAATGCCTGAGGTGGAAGCTAGATCTCCAAGGTCTTTGGAAGGCTAGCATGTTTGAGTCTCAGGGAGAGATAATTTCATGAAAGAGAATGCCCTCAGTTCAACTAGATATTGTTAATGGAGAGTTCATACTCTGCTGGATCTGTGGGAATAAGCAGAAAAAATTGGAAACAGGCAATCCCACTAACAATTGGCAAATGCCTTGCAGCATGCCTTACATAACTAGCACCTTCAACTGTACCTTTAGCCTACTGAAAAGAATGCAGTTCACAAGCAATGCTGTTACATGGACATACCATCATATGCCCAAATGCAGGCAGTATTGCATTGCAGTCCAATTGCAACTTCAGTTAACCTATTTACTCACATTGCAGTAGTTGCTCTGGAAGGTGAGTAAAGCATATAAGCAAATCCACCCAATTCAGAAATTAGCACAATTCGTATACAAGATGGACTTCTGGGCCACAGCTACCACTTGCTCCACAAGAGTCCAAGTGAGCTGCTAAATTGCATAGTATGTCAGCTGGCTTCTTGCAGTCTGTTGACTAAAAGACCATTCCCCAGATCTGCATAGATCATTAAAACCTTCATTGATTTTTCTTCTGTTGCTTGCCACATTTGTTCATATGCCACCAATTTCAGTAGTCTTTTGTTTTGATAATGACCAGAATATTGATTAATTTCAACTTTAGTACTAAGATTTCTTATAAATAGATAATATATTTTAAACTTTGATGTTGACATTCCTACTACAGATTTTCATATCACCTCTGATTCTTTTGGAATCTATTCATACTGTAATATATTGATTCAATCCTTAGAATTTAGTGATATTTTTGCTGAAAACTTTTCTTTTATACAGATACCATTGTAATACTAGTTCTTATATGTTCTAACAGCTCTCTAAAATACTTTGTTAAGTTATTTCTGTGATATCTATTTACTTATTTATTTATGCATGCTTTGGCTTTTTTTTTTGCAATTCCCACTGTTTATTCTAATATCTAGTTTTATTTCTTCTATTTCTTGCTTTCTCCTTGAAAATAGTGGGTATATACTCAAGATTATATTCTAAAAACTGGTTGACTTGCAACTGAGCAATTGATTATCTTTTCCACAATCATCCCCGGCCATGTCTTTGTTGTTATAACTGAGATCTTCTAACTCCTTCTACCAAGGAGAATATACAATATGTGTTGTTTTTGATAACATCCACCTATAATATATACAAACTGTTTTGGTGTTTAGAAATGATGGTAATTGTCCTGTTTAATTTTAATTCCCATGCCTCACATCTATTTCTTTCCTTCTTACTTTTACCAGCTTTGGCATTCCAATTTTAAACCATGAATTCCGCATCTTGATTGTATGTTTGTGGATTTCTGAATTTGAACTTAACAGTAAAATCTGAATTTAACAGTAAAATGTGTCAGGTTCCCCCTCTACATCAGTAATTTGAGCATCAGTTTTGATATTAAGCTATCATTACCATATTAATAGGCTGACCACAAAGTTTAAATAATATTATTTGATCATTGAATGCATTGTACCAAATACAATGTACTGTCATTGCTAAACCCTTTCTAACTATATGAAAACACCAGTTTTCTTCTTTTCTTTTTCATGTTCTGAGTAGTAAACAGTAGTATATTATGACTGGAATTGCCCTATTCTAGTTTCATTTCACTCATCCTGAAAATGTGAAGTGTAATTAACCCCTTTCATCTTTCATTGTGTTGAACTTTCCCATGTTCATGTTTCTCACTGTAATTCTTCTGTACTTCCATTTTTTCTCAATTTGCAACATCAATTTGCAACACCAGACTCTAATCTAGCTGCATGGTATACACATTGGTACTTCAGAAGAACCTCATACTTTCTTTAGTTGCATATTCAGTGCCATCCAACCTGAGGGGACCATCATCCAGCACTATGTCATCAGGTGTATTTTTATATATACATACAATTTCTTTCCATCTTGTTTTACTGGATGAAATACAAGAGTGGTTCACCAGTATCACCCCATATGTGATATGAATTGGCAAATGCTCCTGACATTATGCCTCCTACATAATAGGATGTAGTGGAAGATCAGTATAAAGGATTTAAGACTTAAGGGAAAAAGTCTCAGGAATAATGGAATATCAGAGCCAATTAATGAGAGAATTGTGGGATCTCCTTTACTAGATATTTAGAAACAGAAATTTACAAATTATGTTAAACTTGAAATACTTTTCCTAAGTAAAAGATGAGTAAAAGCAATCTTTTGTGTCTATATACCCAGATGAATGACAAAGCCCATGTAAAAAAGGTATTGTGTATGAAACCCTTTACTTCTATGCTTTGTAATGTTCCTATTTGGTGATTTTATGAACATTTAGAAGTTTTTATGAATATATAGTGAGTTTATAATGTAATATAGGTCAGAAGTCATGCTTTCTGTTGTGTATTGAGGATACAATTGCAGGTGCCTTAGTTACAGTTGCTATAAGAGGAGGGATTCACACTGAGAGTCTGAAAATAACTGGGAGGATAGAGAGAGAGCAGAAAATCCTTTGTTTATACAGTTAGCAGGTGTACTGTAATATACAATCTGGCTTAATTTTTATCTTCATTCAAGTGTTCATCATTCATTATCTGGAGTGGTTCACTAACAAGCACCCCAAACAGCCCAGCTAGCTGATGTTTCTTAAATGTCATTGACTGTGGCAGATGCTTATGAGGTCAGCAAGAACATCTGTATCTATGAAGTGCATTGGCTTCCACTTGAACCAAGTTCTATATTCATGTGGAAATCAAACTGCATATAGTCATATGAGCTTTGGTGTAGTAGATGTTCACTTTCAACTTATCCTCATTGATCCTTGTCAAAGCTAACTGGGAAGATTATCTTCAAAGGATTCTTTGGCAGAAACCAACTGTAGAAAGATGAGGTTAAGGAACAAGTATTTGACTTTTGTGTCAACATAATGCACAGAGAATAGCCAATGAATGGCATTTTAATGGGCCATGAGTGCCTTGAAATGTATAGATATATGACGTATGAGTTGTTCTTTTCACTTATTATGCTCAACAATTAATATGGAGAAGTTTACTAAAATGGAATGTATGTAAAGTTGGATTAGAGTCTGGCTATATAATTTTAAAATTGCTATGAATCTTTTGCATCACAATATTTAATGTTGTGCAAATTTATTTTACTTAATCTTGGATCAAAATCAACCATGGAAAAAGTATATCAGTCTCATTTTTGAGAGTATTAATGTGTAATCATTGATTCCATTTTCATTTATGTTTAGTTTTATTGCTTATATGAGTTTCAAAATTTGCAAATTTGTAAATAGTTGCTTCTGAAATGGCATTGAAGGAAATGATATGTTAATAAAACATATGATCCTGAAAATAAATGCCAACAGGAATCAAAGGCAACTTTTTTAAATAATTGAAAATAAAGCAATCTGCATTTTTGAATCCAGTTTGGATGATGGCAGATGTACAAGTTAAAGTGACTCCAGATGGCTGTGAATTTTCTTTTTCCAAATAGTCATAGTTTGGTAGTGCAGGATATGTATTACTGATTTTTCCAAGTATATACCAGTATTATTCCAAAGACTATTATTTGCTTTCAAAGTTTGCTGAGACGGTTGTATTACCAATAGACTGCCATTCCCCACATGGTATAAATTCATGAGTAGATTTCATTTCTATTCATGCACAAGGAGATGCTGATGTCTGCCTAGTCCAACTGCCAACTTCCTTTTAGCCTACACTATCACACATACAATTCTGAGATTCCCCACCCCTCAGCAGTGTCTTTCTGGAACTGGGAAAGAATTGTAAAGGTCCTAATAGAATTATAAAGACCGAGCATTTTAAACAGGGAGAGCATTTTTTCCTTTATATAAGCACAAAAAGGCAAACAATTAAATTGTTCCTCATATAATATACATTTATTCTACTATACCTTGGAGCATTGTGTTACATAAATTTACTATTACTTACTTTTGAGTCATCCCCTCCCTTCACTTGCAACACACAGACGAAATCATTGATCACCCAGGCATATTATACACTCCTCCTTCTGGATAATATAATATTTTACAATATACAGTTTATTATTTTACAATATATATTATTTTACAATATACAGCTTCTGATATATATATATACACACACACACACACCAGAAGCTGTATATTGTAAAATAATACTATGAGAAGGAATTGGGATGTTTATGTTTACAATAGGTGTACAATATATACATAATATTATTAGTATTAAGAAAGAGAGCTGTATAATACTTCTATGGTGAATGAGAAAACCAAAAACAACAGTTTTTAAAATAGACCTATGAAACCACTACTGAGAGCTGGTACAGACTAAGGGTTAAAATGCAAAATCTGATTTTGGCCTTCCCTGTCCACAGCATACTTGTTAAATTAATAACATTAGCACGATCATTACGTTTAATTCATAAATGTGTAAACATTATTACATGTATATATTTATTAGATACATATCTTAAAACACCTCTAACCAAAAGAAGAAGGAACTGTGGAGCTTTAGTCACTCAAAACTTTTTGCTGATATACTTTATGTACAGAAGCTATTTCTGGCACAATGGCACACCAAAGTGTGATTCAGGCAGTCAGCCCTTTTTTCTGAAGGAAGAATGATTCTTCTCTGACATTATTCAGACTGAGCTAGACCAATAGGCCTCCTCAAGATGAGACATCCCATTGAGTCAGATCAAGATATGAACAAAAAAGTAGTTATAATATATTTTGTGTTACTCAGCCTTATGTTGCCACATTGAAACGTGGAGTAACAGTGCAAATTCTAGTTTATATTTCTTTTACTATTTTTAAAAAAAACAAAGTTCCAGTGTTAAAATAGGAGTTGCGATATACTTTCCTCTAGTAGAAGTACTTAAATGTGACAGCATTACAAAAAACAAGTCTTTCAGCACTGTTAATCAGAAATGTCAATGTTTAAAATAATAATGAAGTAATTCAGAAGTATGGTATAGTTAAGGTAAAGAACTATTCCTAAACTTAAAACTGAATATTCAAATATACTGTAGCTACTTTTGATACTGAATAGGAAGTTTTATTTGCCTAATTATCTTGTAGAATCTATCTTATGTCCTGAGTTTAACTTCAGTACATTAAAGTACCACCTACAATTTAAATTTTATACAATATCTGTACAATCAATCTAATTGTTTTCTGTGCATGCATGTGCTTATAAGAAATAGAGAAAGCTATAAAAATATATGATTTTTTTTTAAAACAAAAGTAAAAATGACATACCTTAAATAATAAAATAAACTGCTGTGATGGAAAATCAAATAATCAACTTTTACACTGTGACTACAACAATGCATAAAATAATTTATTTTATGGTTCATATTTAATATGTAATCATAAAGCAAATTCCTTTTTTTTTTTAATTTTTCCAGGAACTTGGAAGCAACAGCCCACCACAGAGGAACTGGAAGGGAATAGCAATTGCATTGCTGGTGATTCTAGTTGTATGTTCACTGATCACCATGTCCGTAATTCTTTTAACACCAGGTAGTAATAAATTTTTATTACTTATTTGTTTTGAATATTTAAACTCTAAATTGTTTGTATTCAGTCTAACATAATATATAAATAGCTGAAACTCAGTGAGATATATTGCTATGTAAGTTAACAAATTCCATATGTTATAGTAATGATAATCATGCTATAGAATGTGGTAGGATAAAATGTTGACCAGTGAAGACTATTGATTATCCATTGATGTCAGAAACTGGAATTATGCATGTGTCCATAAATATTCCACCTCTCATCATGCACAACCTATTCCCACAGCTCAGATTTTTGTGATTTGAAGCAACTCTAGAAAACACCTTAAAAATGCGAAGGCATCTCTAAGACAATTACAAAGCAATGGTCAGGAAACTGCAACACTATGCTCAATATTGCCCTATTGTAAATATGCAAAACAGTAAAGAAACATAAATGGCAACTGACTGCCCTTTGTAGGGCATGCCAAATTTTTCAACTTTCAATTTCTGAACATCAGGAGTGCTCAAAAGTTGTGACATGGCTTGGGGATCATAAAGATATTTTTATTACTTTAATGTAATTTAGATGTGCTTGATAAGTAACTACATAAATATCAAAACTTTTTAACATTTTGTTTGTTTAATTTATGCCATGGTATTAGTTCTTCAGTTAAAGTAGTGAAGAGTGCTAAGAGATAGGTATAGCTAAAAGAGTTTTCCTCCCATCACTGAAAGTCCTATTCCAGTGGCATCTACGGAGGATCAATGCGGTAGTTTCAGCAGTGTATCAAATTCCCACCCATTTATATATTTGTATGATATATAAAGGTGGCAGGGTTGTGACTGTGCTGCTGCAATGGTCATTTTGATCTTTTGGACCCTGTTAACTGCTTCCCTATTAAATCCCTATTGCTGCTCATCTTGTTTGGACAGTGGATAAGGGCATTTTGTCTCATAGCAATGGGGAATTGAAAGCTCACTAATCAGTCCAATAGCACAGCAGTCTCCAACATTTCTGGCTTTGTAGACCACGGGGGAGAGTGGAAAAGGGGATGGTTCTGTGTGAGCAGCAAGTGTGTGCAGCTGCTTTACACAAGAAGCAGGCATGCACGCCTGCCGTTCACACAAATGGAGCTGCATACATGTGCTTGCCTGCCCATTGCATGTGCGAATGGAACTGCGCATGCATGATTGCTCACTTGCTGCTTCTGTGATCCGGTTCCAAACCAGCCACAACCCGGGAGTGTTGGGAAGCCCTGCAATAGCACAAGGCAGAGGAAACAAAGTAATTGAGCTTTGGCTGAAGTTTTCCTTCTTAAGCAATGGCTAGAAGAGAAGAGAAAACTTTTCTTTCTTTTCCCAAATAAATATGGTCAGGATTATTAGAGTACGAACAAGTAAAAATAAATCTGGACAAGTAAAACTTTCAGTGTATAGGAAAGAAAGGATAAATGAAGGATGAAAATAAGTTTGAATTAGTAGTATGAGATATATAGCAAATCATCTCACAGTTCTGGGAAGAACTGCCAAATTATTGCACAGTATAGCAAGCTCAGTAAACCCCAATTCTATTATCTGGAGATCAGTAAAATAATAAAAAGCAATATATCTTTTTCTTTCTTTTTAGGTACTAGGTCCTTAATTATTTATACTTATTATATGCAGACTTAGAGCAGTTAGAATTGCTACAGTCAATGAGTAATGATTGGAATACTTAAAAAGTTTTCTTTTCCCAGTTGCCCTAAAATGTAGTTAAATTGCAATGAATAGCGTACAGGAGCATTTCGCGCTAGCGATTTATAGCCAACACTGGATGAATTTTTATATCACTATCTTGAGAAACCTGCTAGCATTTGATTAATAGATAAAAGTATTTCTCTTGCACAGCGTTCATTTTTCAGGGCTTTGCTACTTTTTGTTATCATAAATGAAAACACAGGTATTTTTTTTGAGAAGAAGTCCTGCAGATAATCTGGTCCTATGCCATGTAGGGCTTTAGTGATAATCAGCTCCTTGAATTGCACCTGTAAGGAAAATGGGAACCTGTGTAGTTTGCACAACAGAGGTGTAATATCTCACCTTGTACTTTGCCTCTAATTTTCTGCTTAAGTTACTGCCTTAATTTTGTATAGAAATGCAATTCTTGTCAGAGAGTTCAGATCAGGGGTGGGATTCAACTGGTTTTGACCAGTTCTACAGAACCCCAGTTAACTTTCTGAGCAGTTTGATAGTTAGAAGAAATCTCCTTTTGCTTTTTTCCACCCTTATTACATTCTTGGCAATATGCCTAGACTTACTGTCTCCAAAGGAGGTTTTTTTTTCTTTTCTTGATACTTAAAGGAGAAGGTTTTTAAGCTTTTTACAGTGCTGTTGGGAGGAAATGTTCCCCTGGAAATACTTCTTCTTGGCTAGCTAGAAAGATTGACATTCAAACGTGAGTTTACATACTCTTTCTGAGTTTTGGTGTAAAACTGGTTTTTGGTGAAGTTTAATTCTGTGCTTGGTGACGTTTAATCCTGTGTTTATTGATGGGATAATTTTCCCTATTCAGCTTTGTTTGGAAGGAAAAAGATTAACTCTTCCTGAAAAGAAACTGGGTTGAGAAATCTGGCTAGTTCCTGTGTCTATTTGTTCTGATAATTGGTTTAACAAGCAACAGCTACTGTTGTGATTTAATTATTTGTATTGTGTTTGAATTTTTTCCTGCCTCATAGTTTCTTTTTCTATTTGAGGAGGGAGTCTTCCTTCACTGCTTTAGTGGTATCTGGCACTGTCCTTTTGGGTTGTACTTCCAAGAGGCAGGATGCAAGCTTGGCACTGATTTTTTTACTGCCTTTCTGGGGGGCATGAGACCTTTCCTTAAACCTGGATGATTTCCTTAGGATATCTTGTGAGATGAGTGAGACCAGCTGATATTTTTAAGTGGTGTAAACGGATCTAAGGATTGCTTTTCCTGGGTGTGCTTTTTCTGGAGAGCTTAAATGACCTCTCTGCTAAAGGGTTTCACTTTATGAGCAAGAGTTGGCTGCTTGATAGTTATCACTGCATTTTATCTATTTTAATTCCTCAAGGTGCTCTGGCACCCCTCCCTGATTTGGAACTCTGGCTTGCAGGTATTTTTAATCTAATGATTGGTATTTAGGGCAGCTTTTTGCAAGCAAAGAAGCTTTTTGTATTTTTGTACAGGTAATCCATGACTTACAACAGTTCATTTAGTGACCATTCAAAGTTACAGTGGCACTGAAAAAAGTGATTTATAACCGTTTTTCACACTTACGACCGTTGCAGCATCCCCACTGTCATGAGAGGCCAGGTGAGGAGAAGCACGCCTTGACATGAGTGATGTTGAGTTGACCATGCCCACCCAGTCACATGCCCACCAAGCCACACCCACCAACTAAGCCATGCCCACAGAACTGGTTGTTAAAAAAATTGAATCCCACCCCTAGTTCAGATGCCTTGAGAAAAGCAGAGCAAGTAAATATCAAATTAAAATTAGCTTTCTCATGACCTTTAGAGTATTAACATACTGGGAGACAGAGGGCCACCTGAGGGACATCTGTCACAATGAGTATTAAAGTTTCATAATTTATAAAACTTCTGTGTTTCATGAGTTCATGTATAGCATCCTACTGACCTTTACTCTTTCTCTTATTCAATGGCAGAGGAAAGCCAACAATTGCATTGAAGACTACATAATGAGCACTTAAGCAAAACAAGATTGTGTTGCTTTGTAAATGTACTGTATATATTTATATCTGGATGTGTGGGGATTAACCCCCTGGGCCAAAATTTGAATAGTGACATATCATAATGGGGATTTCCAAATCAATTTTGTCAGAATTATTTTATCCCCTCTTACCATTTCTTCAAAGAGTAAATCCTAGTTGGAATAAATTACCCCAAATGTAAAATTTAGTGGAAAAAATCTGTTAAAAAGAATTTGGTAAATCTTCCTAATTGAAGTGAAGCATGCAGTAGAACTAGCTGAAGATGCAGTCTATTGTGGGCCTTGAGCAACATTGAAGAATAAAATAAAATAAAACTCAATTGTTACAATACATTTGCATAATATATATTGGACTAAATAAGACACATATTGACTGTCATTGAATTAAACCTTCAATTAAATCAGCTGAATACAGTATTCTAAGGTAATAAAGTGCTAATAGTAATCAAATTCTGCTGGTTATCTGTGCAACAATAGCTATGACAAACATTATTTCTAGAGTCTTTTTCTGATGATACATACATCTGGCTACCCAGGGAATGGCATGTGGGAATTCTATAAAAGTCACAACATATTAAAATATTAACCAGTATGTTCTGCAAAGCGGATCTCACTTTCTCTCAGTTGCAGGGAAAAGCTTCATTATCTGACTTCCCCACTATGCTTCTGATCTAAACCAAGTGCAGTTTGCATCTGATTTTGCCTCAGATCAGATCAAAGTCCACTTCCCCAGATTACCTGACTATGTTTCATATCTCTCCCTTCAACTTTATTCATACAAAAGAGAACCTAAAGGTGTAAGACAATGTAAAACCCCTACAGCCTTCCCAGAAAAATATTTTGAAAGGATTATTCATTTTTCATTTTTCATTTGCTTCAACAGAAAATGGCCAAATGCATCTTATAAAAGTGGGACCCTTTAAGACTTTGAAACTGAAACTTTATATGAAAATCATTGAGCTGTTGCAAGAACGTCAGGGATTTCCTGACATTTTGGCCAAGTTTATAAGCACATGATAACCCCTTATGTTTTTCTGCTAATTTGATCAGCAGTACACACCCAAAAATACATTTGTAAATTGGTTTTACAGTGATTTTACAGTGTCAAAGAGTAATTGCATCCTCTCAACTGGCTCAACAAAATTCACACATCATTCTTAAATCAGATATTGATTTAATCATAAATAAGCCAAGTAGCTGAATTCATACCTTATGCCAAGGGTCTTCAAACTTG